CCAGGCTGGAGTGCAGTGGCATGTTCACGGCTACTGCGGCTTCAACCTGCTGGGCTCAGGTCATCCATCTGCCTCAGCTTTACAAGTAGCCGGAATTACAGGCACACGCCACCGTTCCCAGCTAATTTTTTGATTTATTGTAGAGATGAGGTTTCACCAATTGCCCAGGCTGGTTTCGAACCTGTGGGCTCAGGCAATTCTCTCACCTCGGCCTCCCAAAGTGCTGGGATTATAGGTATGAACCATCATGCCTGGCCAGTTTTTAAAATTTCATACCATTTTAACTAATTAGGGAAGACATAGAGAAAAGGAATCCACTTGAAGTATACATTTTTTACATAATCTCACACCAAATAGGACATTTTCTAAATTGATTATATCAGTAGTTAATATTAGATAGTATTCTGTACCAGAGTCTAATAAATTTTACAGAAAAAAATGTTTAGAGAAACATTTTAGGTAATACATTTTGTTCATTTGTCTATCCATTCATTCATCCAACCAAGTTAGTTTCATCAACAACCTGCCATGTACCAGTCACGGTGCCAGGCACTGGGGATATAGACATGAATACACATAATACCTGACCTCAAGGGACTTATAGCCTACTACTAAGTGGGAAATGGACATGTTAAAAAATAATTGTTATTGAGTGTTTTCTATAGAAATACATAAAGATAGGATATGGGACTGTGATGTATCAATGGCAGGATCAGTCCCCTCCACCTGGGTAGAGTATGTCAGGAAATCTTCATGGAGGAAGTGCCCCTTTAACTGAGTCTTGACAGATGAGTAGGTGTTTATCTAACATCTGGGAATGGGGGAGCAATGGGGAGAAAAGACACTCAGGGAGAGGGGACAGTATGAGCAGAGGCACAGAGGTGTAAGGGAGGATGGAACTTCGGGGGACCATCAGGTAGTTCAATATGGATACGGGGGTGAGAGAGATAGATTACGTATGACAGAAATACCAGTTGGTGGCAATTTATAGAGACTGTGCTCAGGAGTTTCCTATACTATGGGCTATGTAGGCGTTGAAGGATTTTAAGCAAGGTAATAATAATATGATCAGGTTTACATATTCCAGTGCTCCAGCAGTGATGACAAGGATGAATTAAAGGGCTGTCATACTGGAGGAAAGGAGACCAGTTTGATGTCTGCGAGAGTCTGCCCTGTTGTTGAGTAGGCTTGAGCCAAGGCTGTGGGAATGGAAAAAAGGAATGCTTGAGAGAGGTGTCAGGTAGCTGGAATCTACAGGATGTAGCCTCTGGCTGTCAAGGATGAGAGAATGGTGAAGAGAGGATGATGTCCCAAGGAGAGCAGATCCTTGAAGGGAAAGATGGTTTTAAACATGTAGAGTTGGAGATTCTCAAGAGTTTGGAGATCCCTCAAAAGGAGATACCCTCTCAGGGGCTCCAGTGAGGAGTTCTGGCCAAGAAATAAGGGTTTAGAGCCATCAGCATTTTGGTTATATGATTGGAAAAATGGCACTACATGAATTGCACCTGTGGAGATGTGAAGGGAAGAGATAAGACAACAGAAGACAGCACCTGGGAGACACCAGTATTTAGAGGGTGGCAAAGGAAGAGAAACCACCAAAGAAACACAGGAAAGGAGCCACCAGAGGTAGCAGGACAACGAGGAGAAAATGGTGTTGTGATACCAAAGGGAAGAGAGTTTTAAAGAGAAACAGTCAGATTCTGCAGAAGCAAAGAAGAAAGGGGAAGAATGAAGAAATTCATTGCATTTGGTGATAGAGCTCACTGATATGAAAAAAGAAGTTTTGGGGGTTTTTTTGCAATTCAGATTGGCAAGGAGTTAAAAGATTGATAACACCTAGTGCTGGTGATATGAGGAAAAGGGTGCTCTAGGAAACTGTTGGTGGGAGTATAATTGGGTATAGCTCTCTGTATTAAATTTTTTTAAATGTATATTCTTTTATCTTTTAGAAACAGGGTCTCACTATGTTGCCCAGGTTGGCCTCAAATTCCTGAGCTCAAGTGAGCCTCCTGCCTCAGCCTTCCAAGTAGCTAGGAATTTAGGCATGAGCCACTGTGCCATTCTAAGTGTACATATATTTTGTCCCTTCAATTAAATCTTTATGAAGTTTGGTGTTGCATGCCCTGTAGTCCCAGCTACTTAGGAGGCTGAAGCAGTAGGATCAGGAGGTCATGTCTGTGAATAGCCACTGTCCTCCAGCCTGGGCAGCATAGTAAGACCCTGTTTCTAAAAGACACTTGTCTCAAAATTTTTTAAAGAAACAACCTTTATAAATCATCCTAAGGAAATACCAGGATGAGTGTGCAAAAATAACTCAATAGGGATGTTCCATGCAGAGTTATGACAGAGGATAAAACTGAAAATAAATGGAATGACCATTAAAAGCACATTGGTGAAGTAATCCTGACAGCAGAATATTATGCAGCCATTCAAAAGAATGAAGGAGATTCATGTGACTGTGTGTATAGAAAATGTCTTCCGTAAGTCCAAAGAGATAGAAATAAGCAGGTTATCAATAGTGCATATTGTATAATTCAATTTCTGTAAATGAGTATTTACCTATGAATTGTTTTTTAAACTCAAGAGAATATAGGGTACAGAGTTAACAGAAACTGGGGGAGGAGAGGAATAAAACTGGAGGAATTTTCACTTTCTGTTTGTTGTTGGAGTTTTTATTCAACAACAATAGAGGACGTATTATTCAACTACAATAGGGATATTTCCACCGGAGGGGGAACAGAGGTCAGTGTTAACATTGGCCAGGAAACCTCCCAGGGTGGATGCTTGGCTACAGTGGGCTGGGGGAGGGGGTAGCATGGTACACTGTTTTCCCAGGGAGCTTATTCATCAAGGGAGAAGAGGAAAGTGAGAGAAGCTGCTGGTAAAGTAGCTTCCCAGGGGAAGGAGGAAGTTATTGACAAGGATGGAGAGGCTGAAACCTGTAGAGAGGCGAGGGGGCGATGGAAGTGGAGAGAAGTTGGGAATGTGTGGATGTGGGGGGGAACTGTAGGGCAGAGTCTCAGGAGAGATTGATGCTGATGAGGTCAAGGGCCCAGGGGAAGGAATTCATCTTGAACTAGAGAAGGGGACACCTTCTTCTTGATAAAAGGGATAAATCCTCTTTTCAAAGAATCTTAAATTCTGTCTTATGGGGAAATGAGATGATGTGCTTTTTTTCTTTTTTTGAGTTGGAGGCTTACTCTGACACCCAAGCTGGGGTGCAGTAACACCAACATGGCTCACCATATCCGCGACCTCCTAGGCTCAGGTGATCCTTCCACCTCAGCCTCCCAAGTAGCTTAGGCTATAGGCATGTGCCACCATGCCTGGCTAATTTTGTGTATTTTTTTTGTAGAGATGAGGTCTGGCTGTGTTGCCTAGGCTGGTCTCAAACTCCTGGTCTCGAGCAATCCTCTTGCCTCAGTCTCTCAAAGTGCTGGGATTATAGGCATGAGCCACTGCATCTGGCCTGTTTTTTTTTTAAATTAATTAATTTTGTTTTAGAGACAAGGACTCGCTCTGTCACCCTGGATGGAGTGCACAATCATAGCTCAAGGTAATCTCAAATTTCTGGGTTCAAGTGATCCTCCTACCTCAGCCTCCGAGTATCTAAGTATAAGCGCACACCACCACGCCCAGCCAATGTATAGTTTTTTAAAAAATAGAACTATAGTATGGATAGAAAAGGGAAACGTACTGTTAGGGGAAGCCATGCTAAGGGAGTTTAAAAGGGGGGCAACATACTGTAGCTCAATGTTTCAGAAAAAAAGCTGACCAAAGCTGGCCTTTGCTCTGTGTCTCAGCTGAAATATGCTGGGTCGTGTCATGACCAGCAAGGAAACCTCGTGGCTAAGATTTTGGGGGTGTCATTAGAATTTGGCTCACTTTAAAGCCTGGGGCACCCAAAGAGCTGAACTGCAGCGTGAACATACCCCCTGCCTAAGAACACGCCCTCTTTGCATCTTCAAAGGTTTGGAAGCACAATTGAAAGCTGGAGGCCTGAGATGGTTCCCGTGACCCACGACAATTTACAGAGTGCCTGGCGGTAGGTGACAGGTGGAGACTTCCCACTGCTGTGTCTGAGGGAAGCCTGGGAGAGTTTTTTCTCCATCCCCCTCTCCACCAGGAAGCTGCTGTCTAGAGTTTCTACCCTTGAACAGCCACAGAAACAGCTGCCTTTTGTTCACTGCCCTCCTGCTCTGGGAGGGGGCTTCCCTCAGCATTGCTGCCCCTGCCTCCCCAGGTGGGCCCTGAGCCTGCGGTGTCAGGGCAGCAGAAACGTCCTCAGTGCCCTGCGGAAGGCTGTGGAAGTGGACTTCAAGGACAAAGACAAACACCAGTCGCAGGGCATCTACCTCTTCACGGGGGGCATTCCTGACCAGGACACGGTAGGTAGGCCGCATCCTGGACGTCCATTATTCTTCGTGACTCTATCCATCTTCCTCCAGGTGGATGCTCCATGACTGTTTCTCCAGTGTGATCCTCTAAACCAGACTTCAATGTGCAGACTAGCACCTGGGGATGCTGTTAAAATGCAGACCCTGGCTGGGCTCGGTGTCTCAGCCTATAATTCCAGCCCTTTGAGAGGCCAAGGCACGTGGATTGTCTGAACCTGCTGGTTGGAGACCAGCCCGAGCAAATTGGCGAGACCTTGTCTCTACAATAAATTTTTAAAAAATTAGCCGGGCATGGTAACGTGCGCCTGTAGTTCTGGCTACTTGGAAGGCTGAGACGGAAAGATCGCAGGAGCCCAGCAGGTCAACTCTGGGGTGGCCATGAACGTGCCACTGCACTCCAGCCTGGACAACGGCATGAGACACCAACTCAAAAAAAAAAAAAGCAGATCCTGACCAGACATGGTGGCTCATGCCTATAATCCCAGCACTTTGGGAGAAACCTCACAAGGGTGGGTCGCTTGAGCCCAGGAGTTTGAGACCAGCCTGGGCAACATAGCGAGACCTCATTACCACAAAAAAATTTTTTAAATTAACTGAGCGTTGTGGTGTGTGCCTGTAGTCCCAGCTACTTGGGAGGTTAGAACAGAAGGATCCCCTGAACCCAGGAGGTCAGGCTATGGTGAGCCGGGATCATGCCACTGCACTCCAGGCCGAGTGACAGAGTGAGACCTTAACTCAAAAAAGAAAAAAAACAGTGCAGATCCTGGTGCAGCAATTCCAGGGTGGGACCTGAGAGTTTGCATTTCTAACAGGCTCCCAGGAAATGTCAGATGCTGCTGGTCTAAGACCACAGTTGGTTTAAACAGGCTCTTGGGTCCAGCTCCCCAGCTACACTCAATTAAGATGTTGAAATTGGGACCCAGGCTCACCTCTTTCTATCTCTGGTGCCAAGTACCAGGCACACAGTAGGCCCTCCAGAAAGATAATTAGGCTGGACAGACCAGAGTCCAGTCACTTCAAGGTCCTCAGCTGTGCCCCTTCCTGCCTTCTCTCCCCCCGCAGCCCATGCTCAGTGCCTACATGGCCGAGGCCTGTGGGGGCTGCGACCTCCAACTGCATGTGTGTCTCTTCTACGTGGGTGAGCCACAGATGGACACCACACCCCCTGCCTGCTATGCCAGTCGCACGGACACAGCCGCTGCCTACAGGGAGGTCACACGGGCTGCTGGTGGCCGCTTCCATTGGTTTGGAGACACAGGTGTGTGAGTGTTGCCAGGTCCCTTCACCTCTTTATGTCCAGACTGTTGTCTCAGCACCAATATCGCTCTCTTATGTCGTAGATGTATTCCAGAAAAGTGGCATTTTTAAAATGTAAACCTATTGTTTTTTGGAGATGGGTAGTAGTGATGGTTGCACAACAATGTGAATGTACTTAATACTACTGAATATATACTTTAAAATGATTAAAATAGGCTAAGATGGCTCATGCCTATAATCCCAACACTTTGGAAGGCCGAGGCAGGAGGAATGCTTGAGTCCAGGAGTTTGAGACTAGCTTAGACAACGTCTCTACAAAAGTTCGAAAAAATTAACCAGGTGTGATGGTGCACATCTGTGGCCCTAGCTACCCAGTAGACTGAGGCAGAAAGATCACCAGAGCCTAGGATAGGAGGTTGAGGCTCTGGTGAGCCATGATCATGCCACTGCACTCCAGCCTGGGCAACAGAGTGAGACCCTGACTCAAAACAAAACAAAACAAAAATGATTAAAATAGTAAATTTTATGTTATGTATATTCTACTACAATATTTTTAAAGTTTTTTTAAAAATAAAACTTTCGAAGTATTTTAAAATGACAGCCAGGAAGGTACCCTAAAGTTCTCTTAGATCAATGTTTCCCACTGGATAGTAAGTCCACAGCAGGTGACTGGAAAGATGGTTGTAAATGGTTCACGAAGCAACATTTTAAAAAAATTTGTGATAGTTACATGCTTATTCTAACATATATTAGAAAAATGCTGGCTTTCTATGGTCAGCACTGACATACATTTTTCTGTTTTAAATATACTTTAAAGTAGACAAAAAATGAATGACTTAAAAATATATATGTGAATAATGGTTCAGGTGGCATGCAGACAAGGCAGAAACCATGACAGTGAAACGAGCGTGATTGAAGCTGAGGCATACTGTTGCACTCCAGCATCCCTGACTCACAGATGAAAAAGTGACTCCCAGATGTGGTTACAAAGTTCATGTCTAGAACTGTGGGGTCCTGTTTCCCAGCTCTTTCTTTTATGAAAAGCACTGGGCAGCATGCTCTTTTAAGTTACCATTGGTGATTCTCACTAATAATAGCAAACACTTATAGAACAGCTATTATATGCCAGGCAGTTCTAAACAGTGTATGTACATAGGATGAGTATACCTTATCCAAAATGCTTGAGACCAAAAGTGATTCAGATTTCAGAGGAACATCTGCACCTAACCTACTTTTCTTATAGGTGAGCCCCAGACCCACTGTTGATGCCTATCCCCTTCACTACCTCAGCTCAAGTCACCTACACTTGTCCTTCATGCATCCAGATGTGGACACTTGCCAGGGTCACACCCCGTTCCGCATGTGCTTTGTTTCCAGGCATTTATGAGAGCGATGACATCAACACCATCAAATCCGAGATGGAAAAGGCTTTCAACTACTCCCAAAAGGTATGCCTCGGACATGGGCCAGGTGACTACACTGGTTTCTATATTCACCTCCTGGGGTTGCCATAGCAGGTTAACACATTGGGTGGTTATGACAATAGTAATTTATTCTCACACCCTTCCAGAGGCTAGAAGTCTGATATCAATGTGTCAGAAGGGTCGTGCTTCTTCTGAAGGCTCTGGGTAGAATAGAATTCTTCCCTGCCTGTTCCTAGATTTTCGTGGTGCCTGGTGTTTTTTGTTTGTTTTTAATTGCACTGGCTGCTCTTTTAAAATGGCAAGGAAGACTTTATTGAAGACTGTTCTAATAAAAGAGAGCAACTGAACTAAATTCCGGATCATAGCAAAGATAGTTGGGGATTCATAGCAGAGTCAGGAAATGGAAAATTACTACGATAACTTAATTAGCTCTCATGAGAAGGGGGATTGCTGCTAAAGAGAGACCAAGGACCTAGATATCAAGGATGGGAGATGAAGAACTTGCTTGGATATCAAGGATGGGGAGGTTGCACTAAACTGACTTAGTGATTCTTTGCCAGCACTGGGTTCAGTAGGCCTAGGTTGAGGTTCAGATGAGCATGACTCAAGTTCTGTCAAAGAAGGAGTCCTTGTCACTGGCATTCCTTGACTTACAGCAGCATAACTCCAGTCTGTGCCTCTGTCTTCCCTGTGTGTGTGTTTATATCTCTTCTCCTCTTACAAGGATAACAGTTATAAGTAAGGGTGCACCCTACTCTAGTATGACTTCATCCTAACTTACATCTTAGATCTGCAAAGACCCCATTTCCAAGTAAGATCACATTCATGGGTCCTGGGGGTTCCACGTTCTGCTAATTTTTTAAAATTCTACACCCTGCTATTAAAAAATATATTTTTTAATAGGCTTGGCCTGGTGGCTCTCACCTGTAATCCCAGCACTTTGGAAAGCTGAGGTGGGAGGGTGCTTGAGCCCAGGAGTTCAAGATCAACCTGGACAACATAGCAAGCCCTCATCTCTACAGAAATATTTAAAGATTAGCTGGGCACAATGGTACGTGCCTGTAGTCCCAGTTACTTAGGAGGTTGAGGGGAAGGATTGCCTGAGCCCAGGAAGTCAAGGCTGTGGTCAGCTGTAATAGTGCCATGGCACTCCAGCCTGGGTGACAGAGTGAGAGTGTGACTCCAAATAAATAAATAAAATGCTTTTTTTTTTTTTGAGTTGGAGTCTCACTCTGTCGCCCAGACTGGAGTGCAGTGGCATGCTCCCGGCCACCGCAGCCTCGACCTGCTGGGCTCCGGCGATCCTTCCGCCTCAGCCTTCCGAGTAGCCGGAATTACAGGCGCACGCTACCGTGCCTGGCTGATTTTTTGATTTATTGTAGAGATGAGGTCTCGCTGCCCAGGCGGGTCTCGAACCCGCGGGCTCAGGCAATCCACTCACCTCAGCCTCCCAAAGGCGCGGGATTACAGGCTGAGCCACCGAGCCCGGCAAATAAAATGCTTTTTGTGTGTGTGTGTGGAGACAGGCTCTCACAATGCTGTCCAGGCTGATCTCAAACTCCTGGCCTCAAGCAGGATTCCTCCCTCGGCCTTCCAAAGTGCTGAGATTATAGACATGAGCCATCATGCCTGGTCCCTTTAGTGCTTTTAAAGACCCTTTCTCCTCAGGTGCACATCAGCTTCATTTCCTCTTCTGATAAACTCATGCACAAGATATTAATAGGCAATAGTGGCTTAATCCACCCTTCCATAGGATGCTTATTTACATTTGAATGGTGTCTCTTAGTGCTCTGATTGAGACTAATGACTGGAGAACCAGTTGGGCAGTTGAGAAAATTGTAGGCAAAAGGAACCGAGTATTACACCACTATTGTGTCAGCATCTGGAGTGAGCCCTGGAACACACTGAGCTGGCCAGCCCATGTGGAGACCTCGTGCCTAGTGGTGGAAGGAGCACTGGCTTAGGAACCAAACTCTCCTGGGTTTGAATGGAAGCTTCCCTACACGCTAGTAGTGTGGTCTTGGACAAGAACCTTAAACTCACAGAGCTTTGGTTTCCTCATCTGTAAAATGGGGTTAATAAGACAGCACCTACCCTATCAGCTTAGTTGGCATGACGTGTTGGCATGAGGGTTCCCTTTAGCTAGCCCAGTACCTGGTGCATCCCTGGCTCTCCATCCCTGGTACTTATTGTTGTTGTTAGGATTGATCCACAGTACTCAGTCCAGGAGATGCCAGGGGCTCCAGTGGACACTGTCCTTCCTGGTGTGTGTGTGTGTGTGTGTGTGTGTGTGTGTGTGTGTGTGTGTGTGTGTGTGTCCATGTCTGTCTGTTCATCCACAGTGGCTGGAGTGCCACTAAACCTCCCAATGCCCATTGCAGTGTGCCTTACTCGTGGCCTCCCTGAAGAACCATTCGAGAAAAGAACTGGAAAATGCAGCCCTCTCAAAAGAAAAGCCAAAGATGCTTCAGCAAAGAAGCCAGCCCAAGAAACTCTGCTGTCCCAAGCCCACAGCCCCATCCATGGCCAGAATGGTTTGACTCTCCTTCCTAATAACACACAGAAGATTTTGTTTCCAGTTTGTCTCCTGGTCTTTCCTAGATCTTAAAGTGACTGGGCCCAGGTCCCTAGGCCCCAGGGGTGGGGGCAGAGTCTTCAGTGGTGAATGGACCATGGGTGCCTCTCACCCTATCCTTCAGGAAAAATAATTCCTCTGGGGAGCCTGCCTGTCAGCTCTGGGGGGCTCCTCTGGTCTCCCCACTCTACCTTTGGTTCTGCCTGCCTAGCCCAGCTCTGCTCTCTAAGCTGGTACTGAGGACCCCATGAAATTGGCACCCACCATTACATCTGATGGCTTATCCTGGAGGGGATCTCAGGGCAAAGGAATTTGGGTCTCTAAGGAGCCTGGGTCCCTAAGAGCCTGACAGGGGCCTGAGGGTGGGCCTGTGCCTACTAGGGGCTTATCCTCATTCACAGCCTGTCCTCAAATCTGTCCTGCATCAAGTTCCCACCCAGGCCAGGCACAGTGCTTATAACCCCAGTACTTTGGGAGGCCGAGACAGGAGGATCACTTCCATCCAGGAGTTCAAAAGACCAACCTAGGCAATAGAGCAAGACCTCGTCTCCACAAAAAATTTAAAAAATTAGCTGAGTGTGGTGGTGCACGCCTGTAGTCTCAGCTACTCAGGAAACTGAGGCAGGAGAATCACTTGAGCCCAGAAGTTGGAGCCTGCTGTGAGCTGTGATTGTGCCATGACCACAGCCTCAACTTCGTGGGCTCAGGCGATCCTTCCATCTCAGCCTCCTGGGCAACAGAGTGAGATCACAACTCAAAATAAAATGCCCACTCAACCTTAGCAGTCAGAAGGGGCCTCTGAGGGAATACCCAGACTCAACTGTGCTTATGAACAGAAGGGACAAGGAAACCTGTGAGCTCTTCAGCGTTTCACTGACTGACAGACCCTTGTGAACACAGCACATTTTCAAAATGAGGAAATCCATCCCAGACAGTACGTGACTTATTCCCAGGCAAAGAGTTCAGAGAACTCCACCAAGTTTCTGGAACCAGCCCAGGCATATCACCCTCTCCTGCCTTCCCAAATTCTGAGGTGAAGCCCTGGAATCTCAGGGTCTGCCTCTTGGGCCTTCAGTGGTTCCTGAGCTGATTCAGTGTGAGGAGGCTGAGGCCATGCCGTGGCCTCTAGCAGGTCCTCCTAAAGCCAGGTTGGGGGCTCCCTGGAGTGGCAACGTTCAGGCCTTCATCGCAGCAGATCACCCAGAGGCCTCCTTAGTTGGCATGGGACCCTGGTGACTTTGTTGAACAATCACCACACTCCAGTTGTGCTTGGTAATGAAGAAACTCCTCCCTCAAAACTGAGGTGCCCAATAGGGCACAGAAGTTACCTGAATAGTCATGCTGGAGGTCCAGACATCCCAGTCCAGTAGGAAGAGGGGCAGACAACTGGTGAAGAAAATTCTAGCAAGTCTTAGCACACTCTCTCGCTCTCTCACCACAACACACACACACACACACACACACACACACACACACACACACACACAAACACTTTTTCACCTCAAAACCCAGAGCCCCTCTGAATCTGCTGCAGGAGATGGGCCAAATCCATTCCCTTAGGCTCCTCTCTACAAAAATTCTTAATGAGGCCGGGCTTGGTGGCTCAGCCTGTAATCCCAGCACTTTGGGAGGCCGAGGTGAGTGGATTGCCTAAGCCTGCAGATTCGAGACCTGCCTGGGCAACTTGACGAGACCTCATCTCTATAATAAATCAAAAATTAGCCGGGCGTGGTAGCGCGCGCCTGTAGTTCCAGCTACTTGGAAGGCTGAGGCGGAAGGATCGCCGGAGCCCAGCAGGTCGAGGTTGCGGTGGCCGGGAGCGGCCATTGCACTCCAGTCTGGGTGACAGAGTGAGACTCCAACTCAAAAAAACAAAAAAATTCTTGATGGACAGATTGAGGTTGGGGTGACTGGGGTACTGCCCGCCACAGAGAACGGGCCTCTGATAGGAAAGACAACCTGTTTTCTAGAATGTTAAAGATGACCCTGACAGAGAGAAGAGCCCCACCTTGAAAGCTCTAAAATGGCGTCTACGCAGCGGCAGAACGGGCATCTCACCAGGTAAGGCTTGGCTGTCATCAGGCAGGGTGGAGGGACAGCAGTGGCATGGCTGATGCATGGATTAATAGTGATACTAGCTAAAATGATCAATAATCGAGAGTCTTGATCACGTGCCAGCCTATCTGCTAAGATTGTCCTATTTAAAGCCCATGACAACCAATCCTGTGCAACAGGTCCTCTACCACTCTCTCAGTTGCCCATTTTACTGATGAAGGAATTCAGGATCAGGAGGTAAGGGTAATGTGCCGCTAGTCACAATAGGCCATCATGATTCTTATGAAAGTACTCAGCTCATAGAGTCTTAGACCATGCATCTTATTTCTAATGTCAAAGATATGGCAGAGTGGCTCAGAGCAGAGTTCTGGAGTCAGCAAGACCAGAGTGGAATCGTTGCTGTACTTCTTTATACATACATATTTTAAAGATGTGGACATAATGCAGGTAAAGTTTGGGCCTCCATTTGGTCCTCACTTTGCCTGGTTTGAGATCAGATACCCTTATTGATGTCATGTCCACTTATGAGTCCAGTTTCAATGGGCAGCACGGTTGGTTCCATGTTTTTGCCATTGTGAATAGTGCTGTGATAAACATGTGTGGGCGGGTATCTCATTGCTGTGCTTCTTAGTAATGGAGTCCTACTTACCTGTAAACTTGGGTCTGTGAGGATGAAATGAGACAGGGAATGCAAAGCACTGAGCACCATGCCTGGGAAATATCTGGACTGGATAAATGGTAGCCGTAGCTATTACTGATCCAGGTGAGGCCAGAAGATCTGGAGTGGTGGCAAGAGGTGCCCCAAAGCCATCTCGAACTCCATTTCCTGGAATAGAGTATAGCTGAATGGGAGACGTCTCTAAGCCAGTTTGGACAGCTCTATCACGTGAGCCCACAAGACTGCTCCAGCCAACAAGCCAAATGTCCTCTAGCTGCAGCCCAGCCAGGGAAAGAAGGAGCAACAGAACGGAGGAGGAAGACCACGTCAAGGGAAGCAGAGACATCTCTCTCACTGTTCTACACAGAGATAGGGAATAATGTGGGTAAGTTGGAGACTATGTAGGTGTCCAGTTGTCCCAGGACATGAGCGTCAGTTCCTCTGGAGCAAGCCTGCCCTCTAACAACCCAGTTCTCCCAGCCCAGGGAAATTACATGCCAAATCTTAGCACTGGCTAGAGAGTGAGAAAAGTCAATATTGAAGCTGAGACTTCCCATGGTGCTTGGCCACTTTGGCTGCATCCACTAGGGACAGTTTCCTTAGCTCTGAGGCAGACTGGGAAAGAGGTGGAGATGATCCCCCTAGGCCAGCCTGATTGACTGCTGTGAAATGGTACAGATTCCAGGGACAATTCATTGCTAGGTGGGAGGTCCCAAGCATCCTTCCCCATCCACCCAGCAGCCCACCTCTTCTACCTCGCAGCAAATTGCACTTAAGGAATTTTACAACTGACTTAATTAACAAAAAATTTGACATAAGAAAGGGAGCAGAGGGTGGGTCATGGAGAGAGGTACACAGGGTGGCTGTCTTAGTCCACTTGTGTTGCTATAAAGGAATATCTGAGACTGGACAATTTCTTTTAAAAAAAAGAGATTTATAATTGGTTTATAATTCTGTTGGCTTGAGGGCTCAAGATTGGACATTTCTGAGGGGGGGTCTCAAGCTGTTCCACTCGTGGTGGAAAGCAAAGGGAAGCCAGTGTATGCAGAGATCACATGGCAAGAGAGGAAGCAAGACAGCCAGCCTCTTTTAACAACCAACTCTTGAGGGAATTAAGAGTGAGAACTCACTCACCTTCCCACTCCCTAGGGAGGGCATTAATCTATTCTGCCCCATGACCCCAGCAGCTCCTATTGAGTCCCACCTCCAACATTAGGGATCAAGTTTCAACAGGAGGTTTAGAGGGCTCAGATATCCAAAGTATAGCAGTGAACGTGCTCTATTTGTCCTAGGCTCAGTGTACAAGAAGTACCCTCAAGGAAGGAGTGTAAGAAGCACTAGCTCTTCTATTGACTTACCCAGAAAGGATACAGTTTGCTCCAGCCAAGAGGTATTAAGTTATCTGTACCAGCACCTGCTCCTTAGGCAACACAATAACTCCTTCTATCAGCCATTACTTCTAGGAGGGTGGGCATACTTGAAAAAGAGGATAAGCCCTCTAAGAATGACTGCTTCCTGTGGCAGATGGAATAAGGGTTAAGTAGACCTAAAATTAAAATCTGGGTCTGCCACTTCCTAGTTGAGTGATCTTGGACAAGTCACTTAGCTACACTCAATGTCTTTGTTTGTAAAATGAAGACAAGTGTACCTATCTAATAACATTGATGTGAGGACTAGTTAAAGTGCATTTTGTGTAAAGTACTTAGTGGTGTCAGATCCTTTTGATTGCAAGCAACAGAAATCCCCTTTCTTGTTCATATCCGGAAAATAGAACATCTTTCTTCCCACAACCATTCAATAAAAACCAAGTCTGGTCCCGCTTGGGCCATACTCTAACTGCTTTGAACCTGTGGGTTCTTGTAACTCTCATTGTGACAAGGAGACAGATTACTTTAATTGGTTTAGAGTCTAAACTTTGAACCAATCAGGGCTTTCCACCCACATTTTGTGGAGAAGGCTTGAAATGGGTGTTGGGGAAGCAACAATGTCCACTAGACTAGGAACTGAGAGGTGCTCAGATTTTGTTCCCTGCCCTCCATATTTCTCGTGCATAACTCTCCCCACCCCACCAGAGCCAGGGATGGAATCTGCATGTGAAGGATGTCCAGTGAGGATCTAGGAACCCTATATTTCAGCATGAGACAAATTTCAATCATGAGGTTTCAATAGATGACTCAGACAATTCAATTAAGCTGAATTACCCAGGATAATTGTTCTTTCCTTTATTCTAAAGTGGATAGCAAATTATGGGCTGAAAAAGCTGAAGCTGGAGATCTCCAGATGCATCAGTCCCAACTGCACTCATCAAAAGTCAGGACAGAGTTCAGCATCAACCAAATACTGCAGTGTCCTACCCAGCATCGAGATCCATGTAAGTTATGTTTTTGTCTCCCTTTTTTGAGACAGTATCTTGCTCTGTCGCCCAGATTGGAGTGCAGTGGTGCAGTCATAGCTCACTGCAGCCTCAAACTCCTGGACTCGAGTGATCCTCCTACCTCAGTCTCCTGAGTAGCCAGAACTAGAGGTGTGTGCCACCACACAGCTAGTTTTTAAAAATGTTTTGTAGATGGCCAGGCACAGTGACTCACGCCTGTAATCCCAGCACTTTGAGAGGCCTAGGCAGGAGGATCGCTTGAGTCTAGAAGTTTAAGACCAGCCTAGGCAACATAACAAAACCTCTTCTCTACAAAAGAATCAAAAAATTAGCCAGGTATAGTAGTGTGCACCTGTAGTCCTAACTACTTGGGAGGCTGAGACGGAAGGATTGACTGAGACCAGGAGATCATGGCAGCGGTGAGTCGTGATTGTGCCACTGCACTACAGTCTGGGCAATAGAGTAAGACCCAACTGAAAAAAAAATGTAGTTTGCTATGTTGTCCAGGCTGATCTCAAATTCCTGGCTTTAAGGAATCTTCTGGCCTTAGCCTTCCAAAGTGCTGGGATTATAAGCATGAGCCACTATGCCCACAGTTTTTGGGTGTTTTTTGTTTTGTTTTGTTTTTTTGGAGTTGGAGTCTCACTCTGTCACCCAGACTGGAGTGTAGTGGCTGCTCCCGGCCACCACAGCCTCGACCTGCTGGGCTCCGGCGATCCTTCCGCCTCAGCCTTCCAGGTAGCCAGAACTACAGGCGCTCTACCACGCCCGGCTGATTTTTGATTTGTTGTAGAGATGAGGGCTCACCAACTGGCCCGGGCGGGTCTTGAACCCGCGGGCTCAGGCAATCCACTCACCTCAGCCTCCCAAAGCGCGGGATTATAGTCTGAGCCACCGAGCCTGGCTAATTTTTGGTTTTTTTTGGTTCTCCCCCAAATCTTGCCTCTCCTCAGCCACAAATGGCAGAGAGCAGGGTATGGTGTCATGGTTTCTATTCCTGCTTGTAGGAATCCTGCTTTCCCAAAGTGGGACTTCCATTGGCAAATAGGAGAGGCAGAACCCTGGTGGAAGAAAATTCAACCCCCCAGAGGGCATGTGATCACACTCCAGCGTTAAACAAGCTCATTGGAGAGCGAATTAGAACAAATGCTAAGAACACAGGGCAGTAATTCACCCGTAAGAACTCTGTACCCTAATACTAATGATGGTTCTGTTAGGATGACGCAAACGGGGGTTATGACAGCAGGTGAGGGGGTTCTCTTCTCTATTTTCTAATGTAGAGGTAAATTTTTCTTTCATTGCTTTGACACTGAAACAAGCAAATTTAATACAAAATGAAAATCTAATCATTTCTCTCCTTGCCCTTTTGTAAGGGAAACTAAAAATAGCCACAAAATTCAAAATTATCCACTGGAGGAACTTATGGTCGTTCTAGCATTCTGTGCCCTCTCCATCCAAAGTCATCTTTCAGTTTGAAATTTATGAACCTCCCACCCTACCGTTAAGGGTTTTCTATTTTAAAATTTAGAGATATTATGGTTTTGATTACTCCAGTGGCTGCATTTGCCACAAAACCATCATCCTAATTTCTCTCCTCTTTTGTAGAACCATAAATTTACTAGTTTTATAAAAGAAAAAAGGGCTTTTAAACAAACAAATATATATGCTTAACAGATATTTTAGGAATTGATAACCAACCACAATAGGATAAACTGTTTTAGGAGGTGATGGAATATGAAGAAATGACTGATGGGGCAGGTGTTTGCCTGCATTCACTTTGTTCCAGGGAGTGGTGAGACACATTTGGTGGACGCCCAGGGAAATGGACATGTACATCACATGCCTGGAGAAGGTGATGAGGCGCTATGTCCAGAGGCTTCAGTGGCTGTTGTCCGGTGAGCCTGCCCACCATCCTGGAGGGGAAGTGGGAAGTCAGCCCCAGAGACCCCAGGGTCAGTCCTTCTGAAGCAAGGCCCTCACAAGCTGTCAGCTCAGAGGATCAGGCCAGGAGCATCATTCAAGTACAGCCTAACAACTGGGCTCGAAGGTCAGGGAAGTGGCTGGACAATAGGGAGGTGGAACATGGGCTAAAGAGCCCCAGGGGGAAACTCACATCCGTCCAGGCCTGCTCTGCAAGACTGCCTTCCTGTCTTGTTTGATGCATGTGAGGAGGGGCTCACCCTCAGGGGGCTCACTTTAGTATTGACTGGGCCCATGGGAGTGGAGATGGGAGGCATCCTGACTGAGCAGAAACCCTCTGTTCTTCTTTACGAAGAGTACCAAGGACCCTCCAGGAGAGGCAAATGGGCAGGGCTGGCTGAGGAGAGCCAGGCTCACGTCCCAGAGGCAGGTGGCTGGGTATTGAGAGATGGACTGAAACATCCAAGAGGCCAGGGCAGGAAGCTAGAGCCGGACAGGATTTAGACTTTGAAGCCTGGAGGGTTCCTGGGACAACAGGAGAAAGGAGGAAAGGGATCCTATATAGTGATCAGCAGGTGGCCTCGTGTGGGCCACTCAGGGTCCTGTGTGAATTCATTAGGTCCAATCCTCTGCCGTAGGACCTGGTGTAGTCCGATCAGGGATATAACAATGACTGCTGCTTTCCAAAGCCTCTGGGGGTGCTGCAAGCTCCAGGTGTGGTTGTCAGGTCAGAGGCTGAAGTGGGGCAAAGAGGGAGTGAGTCTCCTCGTTCCCAGTTCACACTCCCCACGGGGAAGGGAGTGAAGACCAGCGACTCTGTTACTTCTTTTGTAGCATGAATCTTCTCACCTCACACACTGGCACACACCCATACACTGTCTGATACTTTAAAACAATACTGGGACACGATTTATTCCAGTCACTTAATTTTAGAGATGAGGAAACTCAAGCCCAGGAGGTTATAACCACTTATGCAAGTCATCACAGACACAGCCAGAGCTGAACCTTGATCTCCTGAAGCCCAAACCACTTGACTCCTCTCACAGTACCAGAAGGGTTGTCTCTCAGTGGGGTGACATCACATCAACCATCAGGCAGGGAACAGGTGTTGTAAGACTTTGCACTTGATAGATACACTGAAGAAAACCATCCAGGAGGCAGGACCCCTTATTCCTTTCCTGCCTCTGCCCCCACGTACTTGGAACAGGAAGCCGCCGACTGTTTGGCACCGTTTTAGAGAGCAAAGTATGCATCCTACTGGACACATCAGGGTCCATGGGCCCCTATCTGCAGCAGGTGAAGACAGAGCTGGTTCTGCTGATTTGGGAACAGCTGCGGAAGCACTGTGACAGGTAAGAGGCAGAGTGGGCACCAGGAAAATCCAAGGAGCAGTTCCTGGGGTGTCCCTGGCCAAGCACATTTCCTCCTCACAGTCAGCAGGCCTAGAGGCTTCTGAGATGCTCTTCTGAATAGCTCTTGAGCACGAAGGAACACAGTATTCTGCTGTGCCACAGAAGGAAAGCCATTTTTAGAATTCTACCTCAGGCCTAGGGACAATTGCGAGCACAGCAGAGAAACCATCATGTGGCCTTGAAGTGTGGCTTTCAGCTGAATTTGATTTTTATGTGGGAAAAACTGTTTGTTTTCTCTATCCAGAAAGGTTGACACTAAGAGGACAGCAAGGAACTCTGGTTCTAGGCTAAGACTCATTCTCGCCTTAATCAAAGTAAACATTTATCGAGCACTTTCTGGGTGCCAAGTGCTTTATGTGGATAATTTCATCAATCCTCACAATGAGCCTATGAGGTATTGCTATTATTATCCCTTGTGTTCAAAAAAGGAAGCTAGGACTTAGAGAGGGTAAGTCATTTGCCCAGGATCCCATAGCCAGTCAGTGGCTGAGCTAGGATTTAAATCTATTTCTGACTGCATCCTGAATTGTCAGCATGTGCCCTTTCATTCTCAGCGGCCCACAGCCCTTTCCCTGAGGGGCCATGCGGCTCATTGTAGGGGTCTTCAGTGATACGCATCAGCGGTCCTCACAAAGGTGACTTCACCTGAATTCAGTACAGACTGGCCTGGTCTAACCAATCTCTTTCCCCACTCTCTGCCCCCTACCTCCTCCTTCCTACCCAGTTTTAACCTGCTCAGCTTTGCAGAGGGCCTTCTGCCATGGCGGGACACTCTGGTGGAGACCACAGATACAGCATGTCATGAGGCTATGCAATGGGTGACCCACCTGCAGGCTCAGGGGAGCACCTCGGTCTTGCAGGCATTGCGGGCAAGTTCCACCTCTGCGCCTGACCCTGGGGCAAAACAAACACTATCATCCCCTGTGCTGATATTGCATGATGCTTTCAGATTTCTAAAAGACATTTCAGAATTTACTAAGTGTTACTTCATTTCATCTTCCCAACAACCCAGTAAGAAAGGGATTCTCAATGTTCTCACTTTCTAGATGAAGGCACAGAGGCTCAGAGAAGTTAAGTGACTTGCTTGGGTTTAACCAGCTAGGAAGTGGGCCATGCTCTTCCTCCTAAACCTCAGCAGCTTCCTTGGTCTGTTTTGGGCCAAAAGGGGTGACTCCAGTCTTACTGGAGAAATCAGCAGCAACCAGTCAGATACATTTTCCTAGGGAACAACAGGTTTTTGCCCTTCTGAGTGAGCCTGACAACTCTCCTGTGCTTTTTCAGAAAGCTTTCAGTTTTCACAATCTGGAAGGATTGTACCTCCTGACCGACGGGAAGCCAGACACAAGCTGCAGCCTTGTTCTAAATGAGGTCCAAAGACTCAGGGAGAAAAGAGATGTGAAAGTGCATGCCATTTCCTTGAACGGCTCAGACAGGTGGGCAAGAAAGAGTCGGTCCTGAGTTTCATTCTTTTCCCATGACCATGCATCTAAGGGGAAGTCTGAGCTCCTTCCTTAATCCGGGGACTCAGACACTGGTCCCTCCTGGGCCCTAGTCCTATATGTCAGAAACTGGGAGGAGCACTGTTTTCCTAGAGACTGGGCAGGTATTACACCAGAGAGTAAAGCCCCTCTCTACATCCTGAAGGGCTGTCATCTGACATTCTCCAGCCTGGATATGCATTTGCACTGATTGACACAGTCATGTCATATTCTCCCTCCTGATCTTTCTTGGGAACATGTTTGTGAATATTTAGGGGGAAAAACTAGAGAGGAAAACAAAACAGATGAATGTAGCATTGTTATGTTTATTTAAAATTTAATTTAATTTGATTTTTTTGCCTTGAAGTCTCACTTGGTCACCCAGGCTGGAGTGCAGTGGCATGCTCACAGCCACTGCAGCGTTGACCTGCTGGGTTCAGGCAATCCTTCCACCTCAGCCTTCAAAGTAGCTGAAACTACAAGCCTGCGCCACCATGCCCAGCTAATTTTTAAAAAAATTTATTTATTGTAGAGATGAGGTCTCACCATGTTGCCTAGACTGGTCTCGAACCCCTGAACTCAGGCAATCCTTTCACCTCGGCCTCCCAAAGTGTTGGGATTATAGGTGTAAGCCACCGCACCTGGCCACTATATTTGCTTTTATAAACAGTCACTATAGAAGAACATATGTTATGGCCAGGCTTGGTGGCTCGTACCTGTAATCCCAGCACTTTGGGGGACCAAGGCAAGAGGATAGCTTGAGTTCAGGAGTTCAAGACCAGCCTGGGCAACATATCAAGAATCCTGTCTCTACAAAAAAAAAAGAAGAACATACATTAGACAAGAGAGACTCAGCTCCTTCAGAAAAAAATCTATTATTAGCAAAATGGGTTACACAGGGACATATTTCTTCCCAAACCATAAGCTCTGCAAATGTCATACTTGTGTCCCTTACAAGGCTGACACATAGTAGGCACTACATAGAAGTCCAGTAAAAGAATGGGGATTGGAGTGTGCTGGCCGTGCACTTAGAGGGAGTCCAGGCTACATGGAAATATGGGTAATCCCCTTCACTCAACCAGCAGCAGGGACAGCAGCTGGTCGTGAACTGGCTTGGAAAGTGTACTTGTTGATGGTGGTCTTGGTGGCGTAAACCATGGCCCATTGCCAGGCCAGTTTCTCTCAGGCCCCACAGACTTCATGGGCCTAGGAACCTACCTAGTTTCCCAACAAGAGGAGGTCCTGGGGAACCTGCCTGGCAGTCAGCCTCTCCCAGCCCTCTGTTCCTCTCCCCAGAACAGCGGTTGAGTTCCTGAGAAAGCTGGCTTCCTTCACTGGAGGGCGCTATCACTGCCCCGTTGGTGAGGATGTGCTCTTCAAAATCTGCGGCCCGCTGACCAGAGGCTTCATCAAGGAATGGGTAGGTTGCAGAGATACTGAGCCTAAGGTCTGTCGAAGCGGTTAAATAAAAGGTCAACAGGTGTGGGGTTTTGCTTCTGACTAGAAAGATCTCTGCTTCTCTGGTAAGACAAAGTATTGACTAAAACCTGCTGCTGTCCTTTAAGGCCAAGTCTCCTCTTGTTAGGAAACAAGCATATTTGGGGGTGTTCTTTAATAATGGTCAGACCAGTTTGCATTGTTGAGTACTTACTATGTGAAGGTAGCATGCCTTATCTGGATTTCCTCTTTGAATTTTCCTGACCATTATTATTATTATTGACAGGGTTTTACTCTGTTGCCCAGGCTGGAGTGCAGTGGCATGAGCATGACTCCCTGCAACCTCAAACTCAACCGATCCTCCTGCCTCAGCCTCCCGAATAACTGGGCTATAGGCATGTGCCACCATGCCCAGCTTATTTTTATTTTTATTTTTGCATTTTTTGTAGTGACGAAGGCTTGCTATGTTGCGCAGGTTGGTCTCAAACTCCTGGCCTCAAGTGATCCTCCCACCTCAGCCTCCCAAAGTGCTGGGATTACAGGCAGGAGCCGCTGCACCCATCCCCTGTTGACCATTATTATTCCCGTTTAAAAGATGAACAAACAGTGTCCTTGAGGTTAGAAATACACCTAAAGTCAGAGGTAGTGGTAAAACCAGAGCCCAAGACACCCATGGTCTTAACCTCTGTGCTTTCATTCTTGCACATTTCTGTCTTCCTGTGTTCAATTCATTGAAACACAAGTTCAAATTATCCGTTAAGCAACAAATCTAGTCAAGTCCTAAGTTATCTATTAAGTAATAAATCTAGTAAAGTCATAGATTCCAATGATCTTCTTCCAGTTTGGTAGAAAAATTCTGTACATATTTATACCTTTTAGAAATGCAATGTTATGGCCAGGCATCGTGGCTCATGCCTGTAATTCTAGCACTTCAGAAGGCTAAGGCGGGAAGATCATTTGAGCCCAGGAGTTTGAGACCAGCCTGGGCAACATAGAGGGACCTCAGCTTTACAAAGAAAAATGTAAAAATTAGCCAGGTGTGGTGGCACGCACCTGTCGTCTTAGCTACTAGGGAGGCTGAGGCAGGATGATTTTTTGATCCCAGAAGTTCAAGGTTACCATGAGCTATGATTATTCCATTGCACTCCAGCCTAGGCAGCAGAGCAAGATCCTGTTTCTACAAACAAACCAACATTAAAAAAAGAAAAGAAAGAAAGAAAAAGAGAAGTGCTATGTTGTCAATGATTTCTAGGCAACAAATTATCAAGTAAGACAACCAATCAGAATTCCAGATTTCTTTTTGGAGGCTAAAGGTTACTTTCACAAGGTATGGCATAAGTTTTGAGTCTGGATGACCTTATATAACTCCTTTATTCAAGTAGCTCTTCTAGTGATAAATATTATACATAATAGAGAGCAGAACAAGTTGGTACAAGTAATTAATATCCTCCACAAGTGTCCTTAATACACAGGAAAACACCTGACAATATATTGAAGGTTTTCAGTTTAATACCTTATCAAGTTGGATTCTTTGAATAGTTTTTGCATGCAGAATGGGATTGCTCTGCTACTACTGCCTGGAGAGAAAGGACAACTTCAGCTGGCTAGGCTCTGGAATTTCATCAGTTAACATTTAAAAAAAAAGTATGCCAGTGAATCTCTATTTCACTAGAAAAAATAAAAGACTGAATAGATTTTACTGGATAGCAGTGAGACATGAAGCATATACCATTTCTGTTCTACTGGGTCCAGAGAGGTGCCAACTTCACTCAGGTTCAGAGACCATCTTGCTTTGCCACCGTCTTCTCCCTACACCGACACTCAAACATCTTATTTCAAAGTGTCCCATTTGCAGAATGACTGCCTTGATGGGTGGTGAGCTTCCCATCTCTGGAGATATGCAAGCTGAAGCCCCCCAGATTTCTGTTCTGGGTGGGAGGCTGCACTTAATTCAGCTCTAAAGTTCTGAGATTTTGCATTTTGGGGTCCCATTCAGTTATTTAGTGGACTAAACTTCACATTCATTTCCGCTTTTCAAGGATGCCCCGTTGCCACCGTTTGAAGGAGACGATTTAATACAGCTAGCTCAGGAGATCACCAAGGCCAGAGGCTTCCTCTGGCAGGCCCAGTCCTTCAGGTATGCCCTTCAAGCAGCTGCTCCCACTTGCCTCGCAGCTGAAGCCCACCCAGACCCTGGGCCCCATCATGAAGGGCCCTCCCCAGTTATGACACCCTTTCTCCGATAGTTCCTGCCCTGCTTCTCCCTGCCAGGCCCAGAAATCTGGGCACCAGGGAGACCATCTTCTCATCTCCTGCCCAGCAGATGCCAACTCCAGAAGAAAAACAATGTGGAACCAAAGGTCGCTGTTTTAGAGAAGTGTTCTCAGGTAAGGGCAAGGAGTGGACTCCTCATCTTTTGAGAGTCCACTAAGGGCCAGGGGGCATGCTTTATTTTGTGGACAGTAGTAACTGCAGAGACAGAGAAGAAATAGTGATTTATCTAAACAGAAAGGCCATCCTGCAAAGGACCACCCACTGAGCACAGCTTGACCCTGAGGGCAGGATGACTTGGAAGGCCATGACCTGCAAGAAACACAATTCCAGGCAACGGGACTCTCTGGAAGCTAAGGAAGGACAGGCTCTGTTCTTTGTGTGGGGCCTCATCTCAGGTCTACCCTAACTTTCCCGCCCTGTCCCGCCACATGCCCTACACTCCAGCCATGATATTGTCACTCTCTGGGAAGCCCTGCATTGAGCCCCTGGCCAAGAAGGTGCTTCTTGCTGTTCTCTGTCTGGTGACTCTTGCTCATCCAAGGCACAGCTCAAATGACATCAGCTCCTCTGCAAAGATGTCCCTGAGATTCATCTAGAGCAAGGAGCCTCCAGGCAGAGCTGGGAGCCTCCTTCCTCTAGTAGCATCCTGACCAACTGTACCTCTATTGCACTCAACACTCGATAGCGTAATTCCTTGCTCACTGATCTGACTCTTCTTGACTGTGAGCTCCCTCAGGATGAGACTGGTGTCCTAGCCATCCGTGGGTCCCCAGAACTTCCCACGTGGCAGACACGTGGCAAACAGTGTGCTTCCAGCTGACTTGCGGGAGCCCAACTCTGCGAATCAATCAGATGGGTTGTTTCTACCCTGGTCTTTCCACAAAGACCAATGCAGTTTCACTGTCAGCCTCTCCTGGGAGCAGAAAAAACAACTGAGCCTCCCCGTCATTCCTACCTTACACAACCAAACTGAACTGAAGGTTGCTCTGGGGCCAGTCCAGAGCAAATGCTCTACTCAAGCATGTGAAATCAGGCTGGGTCTTCCAGGTCCAGCCCCACTGTATACATAGGAAACGAATGGGTCATGCATTATGTCATCTGGGGTCATTTTCTAAAATTAAAAAAATGCTTTTATTTCATTAATAGGATCAAAATGACTGGTGATCATTGGTGTGTGTGTGTGTGTGTGTGTGTGTGTGTGCGCGTGCGCGCGCACGCTGTGTCTTTTTGGTGAGATAAGACTTTATTAAAAGATTCATATTCAGATTCATATTTATTGGGATGCCAAAAAAATATATACACATTTTAAGTATGACGTTCGCTCAAAAGATGGTGTTAATCAAATGAATGCTAGTGTCACCATGTGACAGGCAGGACAGTCAAAGAAAATGGTAAAGCACAGTTGAGTGAGTGCCATACTACACATTGCTAGCTTAATTCAATTCAACTTTGAAAAGTAATACATAGCTGAGGCGGAAGGATCGCTGGAGCCCAGCAGGTCGAGGCTGCAGTGGCCGGGAGCAGCCACTGCACTCCAGTCTGGACGACAGAGTGAGACTCCAACTCAAAAAAAAAAAAAAAAAAGAAAGAAAGAAAAGTAATACATAGATAACATCTCTTAAAATGAGTATACATTTTTTGGCACCCCATATATAAAGAACTTCAAATCAATAAGAAAAAGATAAACATTCTAGTTTTTAAAAAATAAACAAAAGACTCAAGCACAAATGGACAACAGGTACGTGAAAAGGTGCTACACCACAAATTAAAACTGCGGTGAGTACCACTATATGCTCACTAGGATAGCTACAAATAAAAAAGACTGACAATATCAAAATATGGAGTAATTCAAACACTCATATACTGCTAGGATAGGGGCAGGAGTGGAGAAGTGTAAATTGATTTGACCACTTTGGAAAATGATTTGGCACTTTCTACTAAAGTAAAACTTATGCCTACTTTAAGATCCAACAAGCCTGGGCAACTTGGTGAGACTCCATCTCTACAATAAATCAAAAAACTATCCAGGCGTGGTGGCATATGCCTGTAGTTCCAGCTACTTGGAAGACTGAGGTGGAAGGATCACCTGAATCCAGCAGGTTGAGGCTGCAGTGGCTGAGAGTGTGCCACTGCCCTCCAGCCAGGGTGACACTGTGAGA